TGTGTGTGTGTGTCTGTCTGTCTGTGTCCATGTGTTTGGAGACAACAACATCTCATTTACCCCAGACTGGCCTTTTTGTATGGCCTAGAATGACCACTCTGACCCTTCTTCTCTACCCATCAAATGCTAGGATTATGAGCATCCTGGGCAGGCATTTCGTCAACTGAGCTATATCCCCAACCCGAGCCGATGTTCTTTCTTTCTGTTATTCCTCTAGGTCTGTCAGTTCGTCGTCTCTGTCAATGGGCTCAACGTGCTGAATGTAGACTACCGCACCGTGAGCAACCTGATTCTCACAGGCCCAAGGACAATTGTCATGGAAGTCATGGAGGAGTTGGATTGCTGAGCAAGGCGACGTCCCCGCTGATGCCCTGTCCCAGATCAACACGACAATGACAGGACAAGACTGCCAGACAGATGGATGATTGGGACATACAGATCTTTTCTCTGCCCATACACACCTTGACTTATATGTAGTGTTTGAATGTGGAAGAACCGGGCCATACATCTTTAAAAAACAAAACATAGCAGGGGTGTGATAGCTCACGTCTATAATCCCAGCACTCAGGAGGCCAAGGCTGGAGCAGGGCTGCAAGAGAAAGGCCAGCCTCAGCTCACAGTGTGAGTACCTGTCTCAAAAACATGCACACTGCACACACGTATGCATGCACACGCGTGTGCTTGTGCCAATGTAGATGGCAATAGGGAAACAGTTTCCCTACGGGGTGGAATTGCCTTACCAGAGCCCAGTCCGTAGTCCCCAATCATTGGTCTTGATGTTTGCAGAAAGTTGTTCAAAAGCCAAAATAGCAACGTGGGAAGATGCCTTTTTCAGAAGTTCTTAGGATACTTATTACATAGTTTACGTCACTTCCATTGTTCTTTGATGGCAGGAATAATGAAATGGTACTGGCAGTCCTGGATTCTTAGGACACTGAGGCAGGAGGAGGATCGCTTGAATTCTGGTGGTTGAGCCAGCCTGGGCTCCCACATTAACAAAAATGGTTTTCACCAAAATTAGCCTGAAGTTATTGGGTAAGTCTAGATTCCACCAGCTTAAAATGAAAACAGCTTCCCTAGGAATGTGACCCGCTGACAAGAAGGTGCAAGAAGGTTCTTAAGTCTTCAGCTTCTTAAAAGCCATCATGACAAAGTAACTTTTTCCTCTCTATTTAAATTTTCTTTTTCTTTTTAAGGTGGGGCATTGGTAGTTATCCCCTGGCTACTGACATTTCCTTAATTTCTGCCTTTCTTACCAATTTCAGCTTACCCCTTTTTGGTTATAGCAAGAGGTGAAAAATAAAACCAAACTCTGTGTCATGGAAGGTGGGAATGGACAAGGAGAGGATGCTCACAACTGCCTGGCACTCTTTTCCTCACTGGGCCTGAGTGCTTTTTGCACCATGAATCAGCTCCAGCAGCGTTCTGGGGTTCATTTGAAATATTCTGGGTGTGAAAGCAAAGAGGTCTGTCCATACCCACAGAAGACTCAAATTCAGACCTCTGATAAGATTGCACTTTGTGAGCAGCCACTTTTAAGGGACTTGGCTTCAGTGCAATCAACTTGAAACGCAAAATGCCTTCTTAGCCTGGATTTTTACAAGCCTTCTGATGTCATAGGACATGCTGATCATTTAAAACTCTGCTTGCCACTGCAATCTCCATCTTAGAATTCTTCATCTCACTTGAGCATGTCTCTTTGATCTAGAAAAGACTTCCTTTGAACCAGATATGGTAGTAGCACGGGCCTGTAATCCCAGCACCCAGGAAGTGGAGGCAGGAAGTGTTCAAAAATGAGCCTGAGATGCAGGAGACCCTGCCTCAAAAAATCAGGTGGGACAGGGGAGTACATTTGAGATCCTCAAAGTACCAAATGAGAGTCTTTTTACATAGTAAATTTTGAACAGAGAGACTACTTTCTTATGCATTAACAAAGTAATTGTTATACCTCAGTAATTTTTTAATGGGAGGTGATTGTCATGCATTGGTACCCAGTGGAATGGATTTTTTAGCATTTCACACACACACACACACACACACACACACACACACACACAC